GAGCAACATATTTATCTTTAGATTCTGAACACCTGGATTCAAATCCATTTAAAATTTTAAAATGACATGACTTTAGTGGTCTCAATCTAGGAAGACACTTGTTTAAAAAAAATCTACCGTCTCACTTACAATGTTTAAAAGTCTCTATGAAACAAAATTAGCTACCAAAATAGCAGGCAAGATTCAGATAAGAATGCGTTTCTTGCATCCCACGCATCACCTGAAACATGTCTGACTGTACATGGGACTATCTTTTTCTTTACTATCTTTATCTTTTTCATATGCACTTAGATTTGCTCAATGAAAATCTAAATGCTCAACTTTAAATTAGTCTAATATAAAACTAGACATAAGGACAATAGGAATAGAAAACTGAACCATGTTTATAAATAAGCCCTCCCCATAGCTCATTTTATCAACTTTTTTTTTTGTTTTTTCATATCTTTCAATCATGTTTTTCACTAAACAATACCATATTTCACTAATTGTCTACATTTTACATTTACTTTCCCATCTGGGACTATGAGAACATTTAAAAATGGAGATTCCTAATTTAGTAATATAGCTGCAGCTTTTATGCAGTTCTTAGCAGTCTGCTTGACAGAGCAGTACTCAATTGTACTGTTTTCATATGTATTTAATGTATTGAATCATAGAATCTTAGGTTTGAAAGTGAACTCAGGGGTATTTTATGCAATCTCCTGCACAGATATAGCATGTGCTATTACTAAACCATCCCAGACACTTGCTTATTCAGTCTCTTTTTGAAAATGTCCAAGTAAGGATATTCCATAACTTCCCTAAGCAGTTTATTCCTTGGTCCTATGGATCTTACAGTTAGGAAAGGGGTTTTGTTTTTTCTTTCACTGTGATTTAAATTAGCTGTGATTTAATTTAAATTAGCTTGTACTTTGTGTCATGTTCTCTGTCACAAGGGACAACAGTTGTTACCTTTTTCTCCCTCTTCCTCAGTTTCATTTCAGTTAAATTACTTCTGATTTACTAGGGCCCCATATTTTCCAAGTACTTCACAAACATTACACAGTAAAACCTAACAGCGAAACAGCATCCTCTAGTAGGTGGGCAAATAAATATAAGTAGATATGAGTCATACTTCATACAGCAGCACTAGGTTATATGGGTGCAAGGAATAGCCTGTGCATTTTTGGTCACACAGGATTCAGCTCATATTTTGATAGGCTCTAACTGTTTATATCAGTTGCAAGTAACCTCAGAATGCGTTGAAAGATCATCATCTTAATCTTTCATATTTTAACAGACTATGCAGCAATCTGGCAGGGTAACTTGTGTACCAATATAGATGATAAATAACAGAACTACTACATGTAGCAATTATAGGACCCTAGCTGGACAATACTTTTCAACTCTGTCTCATATCATAGTATGTCACTGACCATAATCCCAAAGTATCCATGTTCCATGCCAGTTTGGTGTTGGTTTGTTTTTATTGATAAAAGCTTTAGAAATATATTTATATCAGAATTAAAGAATCATAGTTTAATAGTTTCTAGGGTCAGAAGGGACCTGAACAGATCATCAAGTCTGCCCCCCTGCTCTGGGCAGGAACGAGTGCTGGGATCATATCACCCCAGCCAGATACCTATCCAACCTCCTCTTGAAGACCCCCAAGGTAGGGGAGAGCACCACCTCGCTTGGGAGCCCATTCCAGAGTCTGGCAGCCCTAACGGTAAAGTAATGCCTCCTGATACCAAGCCTGAACCTGCTCTCAGTCAATTTGTGGCTGTTATTCCTTGTTATCCCAGGTGGTGCCCAGGGGAACACAAAGCCTCACCTATTTTCCGCTGGTCCCCCCTGGTGAGTTTATAGATGGCCACCAGATCCGCTCTCAGTCTTTTCTTGTGGAGGCTGAACAGGTTCAGGCCCTTAAGTCTATCCTCAACAGCCTAGCCATAAAACTGAAGTTATAAAAAGGTTCTTTTCTAAAGAATTCCACTGTGTTTCAATTTTCCTGAATAAACAGCGGGGGGGGTTGCCTTATTTTATGTCTTGTTCCACAGTTTCGGCTTTTTTTGGTAGAGAGTGATAAGCTGGAATGAAGAGAGCATAACTCAAATATTTTAAGTAGGCTGTGAGGCAAATAGGAAGGTGAAAGAGCTAGAAATCAAGAGTTGCTGGCTCCCAGTACTGTGCTCAGATCACCTTTCCAGACTGTGGTGGATCAAAAGGATTTTTGGAAATATATTTGGAGGCACCAAACTGGGGAAGCAAAAACAAAGAAAACCCTGGAAGGGGAGAGAAACTCTAAATAAAAGCGAGCAAAAGCAAAGAAATCAAATGAGAATAATAAAGCAACAAACAAACTATGGAGGTAAAATTAGATAGAAACAGTAAAAAAGGTCATGACGAGAAAAAAACCTAATCCTGTCTGAGGGAAAAGGACCACCTGCTTTTTCCATCTTGCAGAGGGAAGTGGGTGGAAGAAGAGAATGCAGCTTCTGTGGCTTTTTTTCTCCATCCTCCCACTCTTAGGGAAGGCTTTGTGCAGAGACACCGCAATGCAGACTTGGATGGGAGTGAAGGGAGGTGCCAGGCCATCTCCTCTGAAGATCCTTCTCCTTCCCATTTTCAGTGCAGGGAGCTGGTACACATTAATATATCAGAAAGTATATTAACTCATCCTGTTTTCTACTTGCCTGTTTTCAGGGAGATGGGGGACTTCAGCCACGGATGTGGTTAGGGGAATGTAGATAAAGCAAGGAAGTAGATAAATAAGAATTACGTAGGGCATTTAAAGGAAGAAAGCAACAATGGAGAAAAATGGACAGTGTTGTTTATTCTCATCATGCTAAAAATATTGATTGTTCTTTACAAACACCGAGATGGATAGGGAACTAGAGAAAAAGGAATAAAGCTGGCCATGAAAATACAAAAAAACAGAAGAGAGCCACTGCTTTATGTGCATTGTATTCATTATTTTACAACAATAACATCTAAAGTATTTTTCTGGCAGACAACCTGCAGAAAGTATTTAAATTCCCATCCCACTTGCTTCTCTTCAGGAATAGTGTAACAAATTGAGTAAGGCATTTACATTACTTACATTTACAATTTAACAAATACTTAGGTAAATGATTCAGCCAAATATCAAAAAGCATTCAGTACGTTCTAATCTGTGGTTAAAAACCTCCCAACTGGAAACATCAGTTTCACACACTTATACTAATTCCTGGTCTAAGGCCATTTTTTTTAACCTGCAAAATCTGTTTTATTCTCGTTATCATAGCTTTTTATTTTAGTCAAATAATCTGAGAGGTAGACCCTTGCCTTTTTGAAATTCTGTGTATATGGAATTTGCTATATATTCCTTGCTGACCATAGAAGTAATATCTTCAAAAATATCCATCAAGTTGCTTAAGTGAGACCTCTTTCATAAATTTAGGTCATCTATTGCCAGCTAAATTATGTTGCACAGGAATTTCTTACAGAATCCTTCAAAATTGTTTCCCTTGTTCTCCATACAACTCATGTTAACTTAATCGGTCTGTAATTACTAGCTATAACTCATGTCCGTACTGTGAATAATGTTGCCATTTCCAGACCTTGGAAGTCTGATCTATCATCCAACAACTCCTCAAGTCCCAGAGTAGCAATGGTGGGAATAACATGATTGTTATATTGCATGGGTAAAACTACATGGCTAGCAGAGTAGGTAGGTGCCCTTCATGCCATTTATAAATGCTAGAAATGGAAGATAAAACAATTAAAATTTAATATGGCTATACTATTATTTCAGGGCCAGCCACTACCAGCTTGTATTAAGTAGTGCTGACCTTAACTCCATGCAGTGACTCTTACTTGCTCTTAGTGAGAGAACAAATGCAGGCATAATAAGAGTATAAAGGCTCCCCCAAGTGTAGGGACTACAGCTATGAATAGTGCTTATATAAGCCACAAAAAAGAAGCAGGGTCCATGTACGCATGTGGTATCTGAGCTGTTCCACATACAAGTGTGGCACATATATTGCCTGGATGTGGATGGAGTTATTTTTTCACATTTAATGATACAAGTCATTATTTGCATGTAAACCTTGATATCACAAAATAAGAAATCAGCTCTTTCACTACTTTATTGAAATAAAATTGAAGGGTTTACTACATTTTAAGACTGCCTACTAAACCAGGGGTAGCATCTTTCCGAAAACAGTTAAGACTCTGTTTATTGTAACAGTTTCATGGGTTACATTGTCTGCTGGTGTTAATTTGGCACTGTTCAACTGAGGTCAGTGGAACTGCACCAGTTTTCAGCAGCAGTGAATGTGGCCCATAGCTCAGACAGATGCAGTGCTAATTACAGGCTCGCACAGCAGATCATTCCAGGCTCCTGGAATACAAACCCAATGTACTGCTGAAAGTCTACCCCTCCAGAGCACAATTGAAATGTTAGTTAAACTTCATTTTGTGAATGTATGAATGACTTGAAGGCATTTGATTGGAAAGATAACATTTGAGACCCTTGGGATTATTCAGAGATGACAATATACATTAGCGAATCAAGCCTTCCATAACATCAAAGTTATGATTTTTGTCCCCATCAACAATGTTTTCAGAAAAATTATGCCTATAAGCTGCATTCACACCCTATTGTCCCTTCATGTTGAAATTAAAATATTAACTTCAACACTGAAAGCATTTCTAGAAACCAATTTTAACTTGTGAATGACTAAGATCTTCCAGAGAGACTGCTATCACATTCATAATACATCTGCACTAGCACAAAAGGGAGCATCTCCTGCTTTCAGCAATTTGATAAGAGCAAGGGTAAAAAAAAACAAAAATGTTGTATACAGGAATTACATTAAACAGAGCAGGTAGGAGGTTGAGAGCAATTCATTTCCATTTATTGAGTCAATAGGGAAAATACAGTACTCCCAAATTTATTATATTGGGGCAAATAATGGTGCTTTAAAATATGCCCAGACTCAACTACAAAGATTAAGCAATTGCATTCTGTTTTACAGAAGGTCATGCATACAAGGAAGAGGCATATGGAATTGTTTCAGGAGTTAAATCAGAAGTTTCAGACTCTGGACAGATTTCGGGATGTACCAAAGTCAGGAAGTATGGTGAGTATTATGTTGCATTTTTATTATTTAAAATAATTTTACCTACGGACAAAATAGCAAGTTTCACACCATTTTTTCTTAAGGTATGATTCTGAGCTACTCTTAGCCCCAAAACAAACAATCAAAGACATTTGAAAAAATCTCATTCATCAGATTTCATAACTAGACGGTAACTGTTTCATTGACATCAATATGGCTGACAAATAACTGAACTGATAGGAGCACATTTAAAATTAGTTTTCATCTACCAGATCCAAAAGATTTATGGCCTTATATTGTGAGCCACTCAAATGTTGATTGGTGTTAGTGCTAGCTCAGCTTGAGGATTCAAAGGTAAGAATGCCCATTCCAGGCTTCCCCCCCTACCCTCTTGCTCCACCTCCCCCCAGGGCTCCCCCAGTTCCCCACCCCC